GCCCTTAATATGACCCCTAATGTAGTGGGGCAGTACCCCAACTATTCTCACAAGGTGCCATTCAAGTTGTTTTTCCTCAGCATCTTCCTACCCTGACTCCTCATGCAAGTGTATGGTGATCCTGAACTTTCAGGCGCACCTGGCGCAGAATCCTGATCTGGAAGAGGCCATCCGGACAACCCACGCCGCAGGCTGTCTGATTTTGCAAGACGCAGGTTCCGTGTGAGCTATAGTTCGAACTCCTTGGAGGGGGTTGACGTCGGGGATTATGTAGGGGACTATTCTAAGGGAGGACTATTCTAAGGGAGTATTAATAAGGGGGACACTTGGGGTTTAGACATGTTTAGACCGTCAAGGCAACATGCCCGGGCGCATCTGCGACGTGGGAAGCATCCCAAGCTTGTGGATGGTTTGTGCTTGCCACCAGGCGTGCGGAACTTAGGAGCAGCCAATAAGCGAGCAAGAGGGAGGCTTTCCACTAGAACCCTGAACCCTACAATTGCTAGCTCAAGTCCAAGGTTCCCGGGGGCCACCAGGAGTGTAGTTACTGCCTTTGCCCGCTGCGATTCGAGATTCTCTACGTCCAGTGTACTTTGCGTGTTCCAGATCGGGATTTTGTCGGCGAGGGGGTAAGAATCGGTCCAGCGCGTGAGCCGCTGGCCAGTGGACCTGAGGACGAGAGGACCTTGAAGGCTTGTTGGGAGCATTTTGGACAGTGCTTTGCGTGCACATTCCGAAGGCTGTGTGATCCCTGTGACCTTCGCCTGGAGACTGAGTATCTGTTTGGTTCTATGATGTTCTATGTCCTCTCTCAGACGCAAAGCTGATCAACATGAGCCCATGCAGAAAGACGGTGGGGATGCAAAAAGGGCAAAGAGTGAGTTTCTTGCGCTTAGCATGTTGGACCTGAGAGGGCTACTTGCCAAGCAATCCCAGAACTTATTGAAAGCCCAGCAGACCCAGCTGCAACAAATGCAAAGCCAGATTGAAAAGAGACGAGATGTTCTCTACACTCCATGGGAGGATGGACACCACGGAAGCTAAGGTAGGCAGCATAGAAACGAGCACTCAGCAGCTTCAGGACCGGAGAAGAGTGGCTCCACAGCGACGCCGGGCGATGACGTGCGTGCATCCAGGCCTGGTCTTTGGTGGCTGGCTTCCTGAAATTAGACGGACAGTGATTCTTGCTGACACGGAGAGAGCTTTAACGCCGTCTGGTTGCAAGGAGACGTTGGACATGTTGTTTTACAATGGGGCCCCGCAAGACTGTAGCAATGGCAAACCTCCGCAAGCGCTTCACTGAAGATATGTCTGGGAAGTGAGAACGTATGCGTGCGATCATTGGGATCTTTGCAAGGGGCAACTTCTCCAACTTTTAGAAGAAGAAGGTTTGGTGTGGTCAGCAAGTCACATGCTGAACGCAAATGCGGCTCCCATGCATCATAGGTTCGCAGGGCTGTCACTCGACTGAAAGGAGAAGGGGGCAAATCGCTACTTAACATTGAGTGCCAGGCAGGGAGTGTGTGGATCAGCTCCAGCAAGGTGGCCGGCTTTGAAGCTCTGCCAGCAGTGTGTGGATTTCGCATAGATGAGAGGCAGACTGAACGCCCTTGGATTGCAGTGTCGAGTCTGTCAGCAGAACTTGGGATCGCCGCGGTGGCGGTGAAAGAGGCAGTCAAAGCTGTGCAGCGCTCAGTGTCCCCGCCCGGACAGAGGCGAAGGTTCCACGCCAGGTGGCGACCTGGAACCTCGCTGGATCTAAGCTGGAAGACCTGCCTCAAGGCATCATGGAAGCTTGCCTGAAAGTTGGCCAGTTGGATGACTCTCCGGTCCGTCGAGGTGTGAACAGCATGCTTTTTGGGGTTCAAGAACTGCGCAGAGGTACAGCAGGCTGGGAAAAAGATTCGATATAGGGCTGGGACATCCTTCGACGCGGGGATGAACGCCAACGGAGAGGAGCAAGTATCATCTACAAACCCACAGAGTGGACAGTGCTACGCCGCAAAGGGTTCAGCAGAGGGATATGGGTTAGATCGAAGCACGTGATCGAAGACCATGAGCTGTGGGTGGGCAGCGTACATTTCGCACAGGGATGCTCTCACGCGCAACATGCAGCTGAAGTGAGTGAAGTCCTCGACTGTCTTCCGCCAACGAACCTGCCCAGAATAGTTCTGGCAGACTCAAACACTAACCTAGGATAGTTCATGGATACGGATGGCTTTAAAGCATGCGGACCAGATGGCAAAAGCGTCCGCCTATTGGACAGCCCGAAAACAAAAGGGGTCAGAAGTGGTGGCGCCGCGTGAGAGTCAGAGGCATCTTCCTACTTCCAGGCCGCTTTAACAAGAGATTCGTGGATCAGTTATCGATTGTATTGCTACGGCCAGGGTCAGTACAGGAAGAATGATAATTTGCCAGGACAGCTACCAGATTCTTGGAGCGGATCACTACATGCTCAGCGCACAGATTTTTCTTGGGCGCAGTGGGATGCGGTCCAATCGGTCTGATACAAGACCAAGGGTAGTGGTTCAGGAACCGGTCGTGGCAACGGATCAGACCCATGCTTAAAACATACGGGAGGCACCAAGTGCAAACCAGGTGCCTCACGCAAAGACCCTGAGCGTGTCAAAGCACTTCTCAGGGTGGCTAGGCGGCAGCGAGGACCAGGGACCAGGGAAGTGGAAAGCCATGGCAGCCAGCAGACATTCCCGACATGCGTGGCAGCAAAGCAGGCTGGATAGCAGCAGAGGGAGATGGGCACATGTTAAGGGAGTCGAGGTCCAGACAAGGGAGACGGGAAGAAGCTTGGGCTGCGGTAGCAGTAGAATCACCGATGCTGTTTTCGCTTGTCGCAGATGTATGTTTCAGGGGCGCGTCAGTCAAACACCGATGGGGCGGGTGTATACCTCAGGTCGAAGGGCTAGCGCTACGTCGGTGTGTTGTGTATGGATGATGCGGTGTTGTGGGGCGCAAAAAGGACAAGTTCTCAGGCTAAGGGTTGAAGTTGAACTGTTCAACTTGAACAACTTGCAGATGAACGCCGACAGTGGGTACTTGAGCTGAATCCGGAAAAATGCCAGTTATACATCAGTCCCTGTAGCAAGGAGAAAGAGGACGTCCGTGTTAAGGGCGCCCTGCTACAACCAACAAGCAATCGGACTCCAGGTGTCAGTGGAAGCCACAGCCAGCGAAACTATTACGCCGCTGACTGCAAGAAAACTTTCAACCCTTCCCGCAACTGTGAACGGTTTCGACTGCCTCTCGCCTCTGTGTCTGCGCTGCATTATCAAGCTTTTGTTCATGGGGCATCAGTTTGGGAAAAACAACCTTTATGATGGTTGCCTGTAGAAGCCGTTGCTGACCTTGCCACCACTGTAGAGTCCTCCAATTGTCAATGATACTGCTCGCAAGAGGCATTGTCCTAGCCAATCCACTTGCTCTGTGTTCCTTGGGCCAGTGGCAGGCAACCCACGGCGGAGAGTGGGTAGTGGTGATTTGCAGCTCACCGCGTGTGATGCTTCCAGTGTCATCATGCAGTGTAGACATGGACAGACTGTGCTGAAGTGAGTGAAGCACCGCAGCTGAGTACTTTAGCGTCAATGTGTAGCGTAGCCTACGCCACAATCATGCGCAGTTCGATTTGGTGGCCCCCGCCACTTGTCAATGTATACATCGATGGCACCCCCTTCAACGCAGCCGGTGGTTCCTTCCACGGCAAGGAAAACAGGACCGGAGATCAGGTGCAGCAAATCAGTGCAGACCCGGCAATGAGATGAAGAGCAAGTAAGTCTCCACTGGAAGAGTTCAGAGAACCTTGGGGTTGGCGAATCCCAGAACTGCAGGGAGAAGATCGAGGAAGCGAGCAAGGTCGAAAGCTCTCCTTGGAAATTATCTCGGCAACTCCTCTTTCTCCTGAACCCATGCCATATGGTCAGATACCAGCGCAGAGCAAGGCTGAGGAAGCGCTACACCGACGACGGCCTGCAAGGCAGCTTGCTCATCTACCCCAAGACCATTATGCCCGGAGACAAGGAGCATTACATGCAGAGACAGCTCGAGAAATCCTTCAATGGCAAGGACAGCAACGCACAGCGATGGTTGAGAGATCGACGGGGAGTGAGGAGGTGGGCCTGATGATGATGCCAATTGATGGCAGGCAGTTGGGCTACTTGGACCCGACAGAACCGACGAGCTGGTTGATGAAGCAGTTGACCACATCCGAAGGTTGAGGGCCAGAAATCCCAATAGTACCAGGGACCGCGTCTTCATACTGCAGAACATGGTGATCCGTGGAGCCAGATCCAGTCCCTTTCCTGAGACGATTTTCTGCGGGACCGTCAGGTGTCCGAGATGCCTGGTGGATACAACTATGAGATTTCTGAATCGATCATGCCAATAGACATGCGACGTGGGCGTGGAGGTACTGGCGGAGGGTCAGGGCAGCGTGCCAAGACGCATGATGCGTAGAATGGAGCAACAGCCTGAGAAGCAAGCAAACCAGGGATCCCCGCATTGAGATGACGGGGACCAAATGGATATCCAGGAAGCGGTAGGGGGCCGGGTTGAGCCGGTGCAGCACTACGCCAGAGACATGCCACCTAGGCGGAGCAAATAAAGAGACAAATGGCTGGTGTGAGGTGGTGATGACTTCGACCAACAAGTTCGAGAACCTGGTGGGCCAGGACTGGGCACGACGCAGTTGTGTAAATTGACCCGCCTGAAGCAGAAGCAGAAAGAGCTTCAGGATCGGGTTCATTGCCGGACGCAGCCTTTACCATCCAGGAAGCGATAGAACTCTGGATGGAGCTGACTGACATGAATGCCGAGGAAAATTCCCTGGGGTATCCGCAGTGGGTCCTTGACGAAGAGTGGCATGCTCTCCAAAAGGCGATGGATGAACACGTGGAAGACTTGGCCCAAGAGCAGGAAGCAGATGAGGCGAGATACAAGACTGGGCCCTGCGCACAGAGATGGAACAGCCAAACGACCCAGGCTTCGATTGCAGGTCTCACTCCAGCGGTCGAAATGGAGCTGCAGCAACTGGTGGGGCCGACTGAAGAACCACAGCCCAGAGCCATTGGGCAGGGTAGCCGGAGCCCTAGACCTTCGGAGAGTTTGCGTCGGAGGCACCGCTGAGTGTGGCCGGCGGCAGTCCCGGAGTCCCGCACATTCCCAGACCAGTGCCGCCGCATGACACGCTGGCGGAGTTCTTTGCAAGCGAAGTGGAACAGAACCTTGGCGGAACTGGATATACGGAAAGTTGTCAGCGTAGCAGGTTCAAGAACAGTTTGGGTCAGCCATATGGGAGACGGTTCTGGCGAGCGAACTAATGCTCAGGAGTCAAGATGTGACAGGGGATGGCAGTATTGGTGAGACAGGTATGGATACGGCAGATGTGAGAAAGGAGTGTACTGAGACGACTAAGCATTAAGGAGCTGCTGCTGAGTGAGGGGTGCGCAGAGTCCGTTTTTCACGCGGTCGCATGACCTTTGTAGGATAAAAGGAGCATGTTTTTGTATTGTTTAGGTTATTAAGGGGGATACTAGGAGTTTAGACTATGGCTCATTTCAGAATGAAAAGATAGGCGTGAGCATGGAGATAGCTAGCAAGACCAATCATCAGGTTTGCAAACGACGTAGGGTTTAGGGCTTAGGAAGGCCATGCGCATGTCTGTAGCTGATACCCCTTCAGCTTTTATGCCTCCATCACATGTCAGGGTCTTCCGTTATGAGCGCTCATTGAAATGGCCAAGGTCTCGGGTTTAGGGTTCAGGGTTTCAGCTGTGAGCATTGGCTTGACAGGTTCTTGATGAAGGGAGGCTAGGGTTGCCGTCCTCTCTGTGCATAGTTTACGATTACTGGTCCTTGGTGCTGTATTGAATATGGGAATATATTATATACGGATTATGTAGGGATTGTTTTCCTTGACTCACAACTATATATCTCCATAGTATCCATATTGTACTGTAATAGTTTCCCATTTTCCATTATCCTCAAATAATCCCTATACGTTATATACCTTATTCCCTAAACCTAAAGGCAAATAATAGAGGTGAGGCCGAACTCCGCGGAGACTTGTCTGCAGCCACAGCGCTGCTGCGGCGTAGCATGAAGTTGTGGCCGAGCATTGAGCAGCTTGGCGCAGTATATATGGGATTAAATAGGTTTAGGGTTTAGGGTCTAAACTCCTTCAAAGGCTTTGTGAAGAGGATCGTATACTGGAGTATTATAGTGATTCTTTGGGCGGATACTAGGAGTTCAGATTGTAACTCATATGAGCCATAGCCTAAAAAAGACAACGGGGAAAGACCATGGAAACTACTACGTAGGGTTTAGGTTTAGGGTGTCCCCAGAGAAAGGGTAGTTTTTTTGGGGGTACAGGTAATAAGGATTATAATGTTTATAGTATGTGAGGGTTTCTATTACGTTCCCCCTACTTAGGGAAGCTGCGACATTTTCCTTGCTTGCCAAGGGAACAGTTTGGGAGTGTTCTATTTGAGGTGTCGCGTGTCGAACAAGCGCCTCCAAGTCACCTTCGATTGATAGCAGGTACTAGAAAACTGGGGCCCTAAACCTTAAACACAAATACCAGGTCTTGGCACCAAGCCATTTTCATCTAGCACTGTGGACCACTGAGCCGCTTAGCGCTGTGTACAGTGTACAGTTTCTCGGTGTCTGCCTGCGTGATATGCAGCATGACGCGCAGTGGACCCCTTCCATCCGACTTCATGATTGTTGCTGTTCCTTGATTGCTGATGAAGCTGTTGAGGAGTCATGTGGAATTAAAAGTTCAGGTGGACTTAAAAGGCACGAGTTGAAAACTGCCCAAATATGGGTCACCCTGCGGTTTGATCCACAGCTGTCTGCTGGCAGGTGAAAAGTTCAGGCGCTGCATCAGTCCAATGAAATACTTAGAAATGAATCCTAAAACTCGGATGGTCAGCTGCCCGCCTGCACTTGAAGCATGAAGAGCTGGTGGAACACTTCCCATGGATTCGCATCTGTATGTCTGTGAAGTTCTGAGGTCCATGCACCAGTACGTATCTGTAACCTCTTTTGGGGCCCTGGAGGCAATCGCCCACGCTTGGGCAGTCGTCATGCCCTCAATTGCGCCGTTGCGATGACTTACACAAGGCTCCGAAATTGGATTCCTCTCCTACAGGTGTTCGCCTACCTGACTCCAAAACCTTACACCCTAAACCTGCAATCCCAAAGCATCCTGGTGAGCTCCGACAGGGCAGGTACCAGATTTGGTAAGATGGCTGCAGTTGAGCACAGTCCTTCAGCACAGCAAGCAAAAGCGCAGCTGAGGACATGAGAGCTATAGTCTACACTCCATAAAGCGGGGTTACATAGGCCATTCTATAGGCGTGTCTTATAGGGGTCATGAAGGGGGATACTTGGAGTGTAAACCCTAAATCCTAAACCCTAAACCCTATATCACGTAGGTTTGTAAGTCTCCCCTATATAATCCCCTGAAACCCTAAACCCCAAACCCTAAACCCCCTATAGGGGTGTCTTATAGGGGTTACAAAATGTCGAGCCGCAAGGTCACAGCCGCTCCATGCACCGCAAGGGCCTCTCCGCACTGGTAGCAAGCCAAGGCTTTAGGGTTACAGTCCCCCCTTAAGTCGATAGAATATGTGGTATATTAGGGTTTAGGGTTTAGGGTTTAGGGTTTAGGGTATTATATAGGGATAGTGGAAAAGAATGGAAGCTACTATAATGGGTTTTATAAGGTATAGAATATGGGGATCTTATTATAGCGTACGCAAAGCCATATTCTATCTACTGAAGGGGGACTAAGGGTTTAGGGTTTAGAGTCTTGAGAGATGCGGTTGATGATATATTGCTAAGGTTCTGGTCCGTTGTTGTGTCCCTGGTGTAATCCAATGCGAGTCAAAAGTGGAGGATAATCTTGACAACTCCCAGATGAGTAGTATTTTATTTGGGGATACTATGGTACCCAATATAGAGTAAGATTACATCCTCCTTTTAGAGTATAGTATTTGTATTAGAATATAATCTTACTGGGTTTAACCACCAAAAAAGACACGCAGATGGAGATAGAGGGCTGGGGCTAGAAATAGTATGGGAGAAGTACAAGTGCATGCTTTGAAACTCGCTCATTGAGGTCAGGCTTCGCCAAGATGTCGCATGTGCAAAGATGATGCGAGGGACAGTGAACAAGAGTGCGGCAGCGCACTAGAAGCGGAACAACTCAGGGAGCTTGCAGGTGTCTGAAGAGTGTAGCTATGCAAAAGGCTGTAGACACTGAGGTGGTTGAAGGCCCGCATGTGTCCATGGCTTGGAGCGTGACTGGGCTCAGGGCAGTCTGTGGGCAATGAAAAGAATGGGGGTTTCTCAAAATTAGGCGTACCATTTTGGCGGTCCCGTTCATAATGTGGGGGTCCATGTTAATGTCCCCCTATTTTGGTAAACTAACAAATCCCAATTTTGTAATGGCACCTTCTCATCTGGTTTGGAAACGGCAGGTCGGCGTCGGGGTCTCCGCGAAATTCTGTCAAGGAACTGCCGAAGCCCAAAGGCGGTGATGTTGCGATTCTTCAGGGGCTGTGTTGTGGATGAGTTGGCTCTGCTGACCTATCCAGTGCTTGTAGTAGCTCTTCCGCCACACCGCCATTCATCTCCAATCATGATGTCACGAGCAGTGCTACACAGCAAACAGCACATGGCAATGGAACGTGGCAACTTCGCAGGTGCGGCTAAGAAGCCTGCGAAGAGTTCGCCGAGAGGCCGTGGAGGCCCAGCAAAGTGTGAACGGGAGCCAGCTGCCTCGAACCCTAAACCCTGTTTAGGGTTTAGGGTCTAGGGTTTAGACCTTAAACCCTGAACCCCCAAACCCTGAACCCAAACTTTAAAATCTAAACCCTAACGCCCTAAACCCTCCTAAGCCCTTACCCCAACCTAGGCTTGACTCCATATGCCCTAGGCAGCAGCTCCAACCATGGAATATCACAATTGTGGTTTACTATTGTTATTATTCCTATTATAAAGCTTATGTGTATAAATTCCTCTTTTTGAAAAACAACAGTAACAATAACCACTATCAAAATCACAGATACTATTGTTGTTAGTATAGAAACTCTCATAAAGATTATTATCGCTACTAGGACTTTTAGTATTATTGTTCCTATCAATTACCATGGAAGCACTTTCCCGCGAAAGGTGATGAGAGCCCTAGGGCCGGTTCTCCTCCAAGGAGGACTTTAGGGTTCGGGGTTCCGGTGTTCGGGTTTGGGGACAAGAAAGTCAGCAACGCTTGCACACAGGCGTTAACCTCTTGCCTTCCCAGTTTCCATTTTATGTTCCACATTCCTCTCCATTTGATTTTCCCATTATCTGGACACTGGTCAACCTTGAACGTGCAGGGCCTATGTCAGATGCGATGCGGAGTGTAACCAAGAATCCTCCAGGATAGTCGCGCGAATTCCTCTCAAAAGCGTAAGTCTAACCCCTAACCCAGATGGTAATTTCCCTGAATAGGGGGACCCTGAGCTAGACTCCAAAATGCTGTAAGCCCCACTGAGGGAACCCCAAAACGGTACCCCGTATTTTTGGGAAGCTCTAAACCACTAAGAAGGGCCTGCAAGAGCTTCACGCTTGTGAAGCCCGCTCTCTAGCAACATGTACTTCGCCTTTGGCAGCTGACTCGGTGTCTTGATTGCTCTTTGCACAAGAACTAGTGCTGCCGCTCGGATCCTGCCAGACCCCAGCCGAAATCCTAGACCCAGAAACCCTAAACCCCAAACCCTAAAGCCCAAACCCTCAACCCCAAAACCTAAACTCCAAAACCCTAAACTCCGAACCCGAAACTCCAAACCCCAACTCCCAAATTTTAAAACCAATCCTACCTGCACTTTCCTTGGAGGAGCCAGTGTCAGCCAGGATCGGCTTCGAAGATGACGCCGCGGAAGAAGGTACTGTCTATCAAAGATATGAGCTCTGTATATTGTAATCAGGGTGTAGGGGTTTAGGGGTTTTAGGGTTTAGGGTTCGGGGGTTTAGGGTTTAGGGTTTAGGACCCTGTCATAGTGGTATCATAGGACAAATAGAATCACCATTATCCCCAGTGGTCAGTATTATTGGGTGGGGGGTCCACCTCAACCATAATAGCATCATTCCAAGGTATCAGGTACATAGGGTCATGCAGGATTTTAGTATCCGCTGTAGCCCGGATATCCGCGCCAACAACGTACCTT